ACAAACCTCTTAGGACACACAAATGCAATTCTGTTCTTAAAAAAGGTAAATTTTATTAATTAACAAAAAAGAAGAAAATACATCTGGGATTTAGGCTTTTGCTAGATTAAAAAAAAACAATTACAAGGATCAAGCATCAAGAATAGCTCTCTTGAGGTCCAGTTTAAAGTTAGAAGCAAAACAAAAGCACCTGGGGTTAGTACAGAGGAATCCACAAGCCATAAAGAAATAAAAGGGATAAACCTAATTGCGTCTTTCTAGACATTTCCTGATCTACTTAGATATCTGGAGTTTTAGATGAGTAGTTTCTAGGTATGATAATGATAATTTTTCATACCTGGCCCAAGCTTCTCACAGCATAACTGCTCCCTGTCTGCCTCTCCCCCAGAACAACAACAGACAGACAAAAGAGGAGTCTTGTTTCAGTTTTCAAAAGTTCTAGCCTTCCCATTGGCTCTTTTGGCCAGGTGCCCACTCACTTCTTTTTACCTATGCATAGCAGTGAGACTTTTTAACCCTTTACAGGTAGATCAGTTAGAGAATAGCTACTAAGAGGGATTTTATAGCTACTGGCTGGCTGGGTGTCCATAAAAGGGAGCTACCCCCCCTTCATTTATCACAGGAGAATATGGGGGTTTGGGGGGATTATTGCAGCGGAGGGAATTGGGGGGATTATTGCAGCGGAGGGGAGGGGATTTGAGGGATTATCACAGTGGAATGGAGGGTTTTAGGGAGCTATTGCAGTGGGAGGGAGGTGTTTGGGAAGGATTATAGCGAGGAGGGGAGTGCTTTGTGGGGAATTCAGGCAATGGGGGGAAGGGGGGATCATCTCAGGGGGGATCATCTCAGCGGGGGAGGGGTATCAGTGGGATTATTGTAGAGGAGGTGAGGGTCTTTGAGGGGATTATCACATGGGAAGGGGGAGGGGATTATCGCAATGGTGGGGAGAGGAGTCCATGGAATTATTGCAGTAAAGGGGAGGGGTCATGGGGGGATTGTTGCAGTGGAGTGGAGAAATTTTGGGGGGGATTATCACTGTGGAGGAGGGGGAGAGGGAGAGATTATTGCAGTGAAGGCGAGGAGTTTGAAGGATTATTGCTGTGTAGGGGAGGGGCTTGGGAGGATTTTGTAGTGGAGGGAGATTTCAAGGGGATTATCACAATGAAAAGTGATGGCTTCTGTGAACATTATCACTGGAAGAGAGGGGCTTCTGGGAGAGTTATTGGAGGGGCGGGATTTGGGGGCAAATTATTGGAGGGGAGGGATTTCAAGGGCATTATCACAACAGAGGGGAGGGTGTTTGCAGGGGGATTATTGCAGTGGAGTGGAAGGGTTTGGAGAGGAGGGTCTTAAAGGGGATAATCACAGTGGAGAGGAGAAAGGTTGTGGGGATTATCCTAGTGGAGGGGAGAGAGTATGGGGGTGATGAATGCAGTGGAGGGACCTTGGCGGGGATTATCACAGAGGAGGGAAGGTGTTTCAGGACATTACTGTAGTGGAGGGGATGGGATTCTGGGGATAGGGGAGGGGTTGCAGAGGGATTATTGCAGTGGACAGGAGGGTGTTCAAAGGGGAATAGTGCACTTGAGGGGAGGAGTTTCAAGGGTATTATTATTGCATTGGAAAGGAGGGTTTTCAAAGTGATTATCACAGTGGAGGTGAGGGGTTTGGGGGATTTTCATTGTGGAGGGGTAGGCATTGTGGGGATTATTGAAGTGAAGGTTTGGGTTTGAAGAGGATTATTACAGAGGAGGGGAGGGGTTTAGGGGAGGATTAATTCAGTGCAGGGGACGTGATTCCAGGGGTTATGACAGTGAATGGGTTTTGGAAGAATTATCTCATTGGAAACTCCTTTTTTCAAGGGGATTATTGCAATGTGGGGAGGGGTTTGGGACAGATTATTGTAGAGGAGGGGAAGGTTGTGGTTTCAGGGGAGATTATTGCAATGGAGGGGAGGGGCTTCAGGGGAATTATTTTAATAGAAGGCAGGAGTTTCAATGGGATTGTCATAGTGGAAGGGAGGTGTGATGGGTTCCCTGGTGTGCAACCTGGAGCCGGGGTACCGCTGAGCCCCCTGTCTCACCAACCTGGGCTCCCTCTCACATTGTGATGCTGTGACAAGCTGCAATCCTCTCCAGGTACTGCACTTCAGGTACACAGCCATCCACAGGCAGGGACACCCCCTGCTGAGTTACATGAATATTTCTCCTAGCCCCACTCTTGAACTAACAATAGAGAGGCTCCAGCCATCTAGCCTAGGACCCCAGAGCTGTACCATCTTGCCCTGGTCAAAAGCCTGACCAGTATAAGTTGATTAACCAGTCCACCCCTTCTACAAAGGAAAGTGGACATGCACCAGCTCTTGTTCCTGAGCAGATTCCCCAACCACTTCAAACAACACACTCTTTTAGGTAAAATATAAAACAGATATATTAACTACAGAAAGATAGATTTTAAGTGATTATAAGTGGCATGCGTAGAGATCAAAGCTAAGAAATAAAAGTAAAACCGCAATCTGAGTTCTATAAACTGGACAGGAGTTGAATCAAGCAATGTCTCACCCTAATGGTATTGTTCTTTAAGGCATAGGTTGGGATTCTCCTTTCCAGCCTGGGATCACCTCCCCAGTTCAGTCTTTGTTCTACAGACCTATTTCCAATTGCTGAGTTGTGGGGGGAAAGAGGCCAAGCGACGATGTCACTTCCCCTTTTATAGCTTCTTCCAGCCTGCTGGAAAGATCCTTTGCTATGATGTGAATCAAACAATCTCCATTGCCTACATGCTATCTTTGAGAAGTCTCCATTGTATACGGTACCTGGGACAGTCCTTGTGAGTGTGTATTCCCCTTAATGGGCCATCATTAGTTTCTGGCTGCCCTATTGTTTTACCTGAAAGGCTGGTTGTGGGTGTTTCCAACTTCATAACATATTTCAGTAACACACACATAGCAAAACTTCATAACTCCACATACAGTGATAGTACATACAATCCAACAGGATATTAATGTTCAACAGATCAAGACTTTCAAAATGATACCTCACAAAACATATCATAATCCTATCACCATGGGTAACTGTGTGGGTGCCAGTGTGTTGCTTTGAGGGTACAATTCACACTGCTGGGCGCCTTTGTCACCCCTGTCCCATAACCTGGGGTGCCCTTTACAATGCCTTGCTGCTGCAGCCTCCAACCTGGACTGCTCACAGTCTCCAGCACGTGAGTCACTCCCAGCCGTGTCTCTGTGTGTGCTGCAGCCAGGCTGCCACACTTTGGCTTTTACCAGCCTTGGTTATACTGCAGGGTGATCCCAACACAGCACCAGTATTAGATTTTCCCTCCAGAGACATATGTCCTGTACTGCCCAGTCCTCTCCTGGACAGTACAAATATATTAAGTCCGCTATTTCTTTAAGGGAATAACATGCACATAACTTGTTACCCCCAAATGGAGTTACCCAGACACTTCATCTTGAACACACTGGATTAGGTAAAACACTAAAACAAGTTTATTAACTACAAAGAGAGAGATTTTAAGTGAGTACAAGGAATGAGGTATAAAAGTCAGAAATGGTTACAAGAAAAATGAAGATAAAACGCTTTCTAGTGTCTATCTTAACAAACTATATTAGATTCAAAGCAAAGTTTTCTCACAACTTGCTTTCAGCAGTCTTACTGACAATCTCTTTAGGTCAGGACCCCCACCCCTGAATCCAATCGCTGCCTCCTTTGTCTCTTCAGGTGCAGTGAATGCAAGAGGCAGGGAGAGAGTGGGGGTGCTTTGGGTCCCTCCTTTTTATCATTTCAGTCCCCCTCTTGAAAAACATTTCCAGCAGAGATCCAAAAGCCAAAAAGTCTGTGTGGAAGGATATTTCCTGCTGTTTTCCCCCCCTGTTTGAACTTTGTTTGTTTCCCCTCTCTGCATGATGACTCTGTTTATTGCTTAAATGCACATTAAGGCATGCACACGTTCCTTCTTTTGCTTTAGGCAGTCCTGACTTCTGCCTGGGCAGGGCTGTGGGGTTTGGAACAAGGGTTAATAATAGCGTACAGAGAAATCTTATGACTTCACACAAAGTATTGCCACACATATGTTACCAGGACAATACTGACCAGCAAATAATGAGTTTTTTTCAAATGCTACCTTACAAGGCATAGTTTATACAAAGGTTATTACTATAGTGTGTAGGGTATGAATAGTCGAGGGTTGGGGCTTTAGGGAGAGTATCAGTGGAGGGGAGGCATTTCTTGGGGGATTATTTCAGTGGAGGGGAGGGGTTTGAGAGGTTATGGCAGGGGTGGGGTTTGGGAAGGATTATTGAATTGGAAAGGAGGGGTTTCAAGGGAATTATTGCGATGTAGGGGAGGGCTTTCTGGGGAGGTTTTTCATAGTGGATGGTAGGGATTTGGGTGGATTATAAAGTGGAGGGGTTGACATTTTGGGGGAGATTATCACAGTGGAGAGGAGGGTGTTTGGGGGGGATTTTCTTAGGGGAGGGGAGGGATTATTGCAGGGGTGGAATTTTACTGAGAGAACCACAGTGCAAGGGAGGGTTTTGCAGGGGATTATAACAGTGGATGGGAGGGGTTGGGGGGTTATTGCAACATATGGGAGGGGTTTGGGCAGATTATAAGAGTGAAGGGGGTGGAGTTTGGGGAGATAATTGCAGTGGAGTGGCCGGGGTGTGGTGGTGATTAATGCAGTAGAAGGGAGGGCTTTTGGGGTCATTGTTGCACTAGAGGGGAGGGGTTTCAGAGAGGGATGTCACAGTTGAGGGGAGGAGTTTCCAGGGGTGGTTGTGTTGAGAGGATTATCACAGTGGAGAGGAGGCGTGTCAAGGGATTATTGCAGCAGAGGTGAGAGCGTTTGTTGGGATTATTTCAAACAGGGATTACTGCGGTAGGGGAGGGGTCTCATTTGGGTGTAATGCAATGGAGGTGTGGGCTTCAGAAGGGATGGTTACAGTGGGGTCTCTAGATTCACCTTCCTTGCCCCCTGTTCAGCGGATCCTGTGTCCTGATATGGCTCCCCCCAAAGAACCTCGTGCCCAAGGAGAGGTGTCTGATACCATGGGCTCCTGGGCAAAAAGCAACTGGTCTTCCCGTGCTGGGTCCACTAGCGAAGCAGGTACCATGGTGCTGGATGAATTCCATATCCACTTCCGGTTCTTTCTCCACGTGCCCTTCTCATTCCCTCTCTTCAAGGGTGAAAGTAACTTACAGGATTTACTGGTACGGCTGGAGTCCTGAGCGGGGGCGTGACCTCACCCGGAAGAGGTGGGGCCTCTCAAGATTTAAAGGCCCTGTGGCACCGGCTGTGGCTGGGAGCCCCAGGGCCTTTAAATCACCCCGGGTCTCCCAGCTGCAGAGGTGGCTGGGAGCCCCTGGGGCTCAGGGGCAAATTAAAGGGCCCGGGGCTCCGGCCACCGCAGAGCTCCAGGCCCTTTAAATCCCCACCGCAGCTCTGGAAGCCGATGCAGTCCGGCACGGCGTACTGGCTCTTGCCGGTACGTACTGTACCGGCTTACTTTCACCTCTGCCTCTGTTCCCCGTGGCCCTCCTCTGCGTCCTGACTCTTTGAGAAGCTCTCTTCAGGGTTTGGGCCCGATGGGAGGGAAGGGAACATGTGTGAATGCAGTGGGTCATGCAGGTGTGCATGGTGGAGCAGGCCAGTGTGTTACAAGGTGGGTGTAGGAGTGCACATCCCTGGCAGTGTGGGACAAGGGTTGTGTGTGTGCACAGTGAATGGACATTTGGGTGGGCATGCACGTATCACAAGGAAGTGAGTGCAGCTCAGCAGCCAATGAGGATGTGAGAGTCTGTGCAAAGCTAAGGGAACATGAATCTGAGAGAGGCCTAGCTGGACAGGGTGTGTGAATGTGTGTACGTGCAGTGTGTGTGTTTATTTGTAGGGATACACTCTAAGAAGTGAGGGTGAGGTTCAGTCCCTTCTTCACTTGCTCTCTGTCTGCTCTTCCCCCAGCGCTGGGTCAGGCAGACCCCAGACCCATGAGTCAGACTACCCTGCTGCATCCTGACATCCGCCTTCACGCCAGTGTCAACACTATTCTGAAATATGCCTATGCTGTCTCGGGCCAGGAACCAGTGATCAGGAGGCACATCCCAGGTGTGCTGACCCAGAGAAGTCTCAAGCCTGGAGGGGACCCAGAGCTGGCAGGCCCCCTGAAAGTCCAGCCAGTCACAGCCACCCCTGAAACTTCCCCGTCAGCCATAAGACCCAGTATCAAGACTGGAAGGGCAACAGAGCAGCACATGCAGAAGAGCATCCAGCAGCTGATCAACTCAGCTCTCTCCTTGGAGGGCTCTCCGGAGATGGAGACCACTCAGGTGCCCCTAGGCACTGCACCAGATTGGAAGGGCTCATTCAGCAGTGCCCAGGAAGGGATCCCAGATGCAAGCAGCAGTGGCAGGTAAGGTAAAAAAAAAAAAAAACGGCTCACAAGTGGGTCAGGGCAGGTATGGCAGCTCAGCTGACCCTGAACATGCACACCCTGCACACACACAGTGGGCATTTCTACGCTGGAGCTAATAGGTGTAATTCCCAGCACAGGTGGACAGACCCACATTAGCTCTGATTGAGTTCATGCCAACAGTAGCAATGTAGATGTCATGAGTGGTGGCAGGGGCTCGCTACCTGCGTAGGTGCCTAGCATCACAGACAGGTACACTTGCACCGCCATGGCTTCACCCTATTGTTCGCATGCTAGCTCGATCAGAGCGAACATGGGTATGTCCCTCGAACTAGGAATTACTCCTTCCAGTTCCAGAGTAGACACACCCAGCGAGTGCCTCGCAGACACATGCACAAAGAGCTCCCCCCGCCCCCCACAGTCATGTATGTGCACAGTGAGCTCCCCACAAACATGGCCCCCCCAGTCATGCACATGCATGGTGGAGTCCCACAAACACCCTCTCACACCCACAGTGAGCTCCCCACAACCCCCTCCTGTGCAACACCCCCTCCCCGCGTCGTGCAGGTGCACGGTGAGCTCCCCATACCCCCCCCCCACACACACACTGTCGTGCATGTGGACAGTGAGCTTCCTCACACTCGCAGATCAGTTACTCAGTTCAATTCAGTGAGACTTGATTGGCAGAACAAGCTATACAAGTGTGGTCAAAGTGTAAAAAAAAGATACAGTCTCCCCAGATATCTGTCTGAGGCAGGTAAGATGCACTCAGGATGGGGCTACATGCTGTGTCTGAGGCTTGCTTCTGTGTGCGTTTGTTATTCCTGTTCATTCCTGATCTAGTGGCAGGTTGCTACATTGTGTGCTGCTATCTTTGCCATTTCTCTCCTTTTCTCCCTCGGTCAGGCCCAGTTTTTCCTTATCACTTTTTGACAAGAAGTCTGTTCTCATTCTTGACAATTTGTGGAAATATCTTTCTTGCATTTCCTCTTATTTGGGGCATTGGAGTGGCAGGAGCCTCTCTGTCTCAATGGCTCCTCTCCCATTAGATGCTCTGTCACTTCCTTTCTGGGTTTAGACCCTGCTTTGCACCTCCCCAATTCCATAGCTGCCTTACAGTCACTTATTCTGTATTTGGTGGGAGTCTGTATTGGTTTGCCACATTTCACAGGGGTGAGGTAGTCAGCTCATATGATTTCTCTACAGGGACCTGTAGCAGTCTAGCTTGTTCCTATTTGTTTTTCCTAGTGACTCATACGTTGGTGTTTTAGGTGCTGGTCTAGTTGTTATGCTTATAAGAAGCACATGGAATCTCTTAAAAGGGGATAAGGCAATACACCGCATTTATTGAGAGTACAATGTAAGCATTAAAATCAACATATGCTTCCATTCTCTCTCTCTCTCTCTCTCTCTCTCTCTCTCACACACACACACACACACACACACACACACACACACACACACACACACACACACACACACACACACAC